CGTAACCGACAACGCAGAACTAATCCTCATGCGCGACGGACTGGATCTCCTCCTCCCCAAACTCGCAAAGGTCATTTCCAACCTCTCAGCCTTCGCCCTGCAATGGAAGAGCGAGCCCACACTCGCCTACACGCATCTGCAACCCGCTCAACTCATCACCGTAGGCAAGCGCGCAGCCCAATGGGCCCAAGACCTCCTCTTCGACCTCGAAGCCATCGAGCTCGTCCGTGAGACCCTGCAATTCCGGGGCGCCCAAGGCACAACCGGAACGCAAGCCTCGTTCCTCGAGATCTTCAACGGCGACAGCAAAAAGTGCGACCAGCTCAACGAGCTGCTCTGCAAGAAAGCCGGTTTCCCATCCTGCTACGCCATCTCGACGCAAACCTACACCCGCAAAGTCGACCTCCTAATCGCCAACGCCATCTGCGGGCTCGGCGCGTCCGCTCAAAAGATCACCGGCGACATCCGGCACCTCGCGGCGTGGAAAGAACTCGAAGAGCCGTTTGAAAAAGACCAAATCGGCTCCTCGGCCATGGCATACAAGCGCAACCCCATGCGCTCCGAGCGCATCTACGCCTTGTCCCGCGAACTCATGTCCAAGCCCGCCTCGTTCGCCAACACGCTCTCCGACCAATGGATGGAGCGGTCCCTCGACGACTCCGCAATTCGGCGCATGGATATCCCGGAGATGTTCCTCCTCGCCGACGCCATCCTCCTCTCTCTCGACAACGTAACCTCCGGCCTCGTCGTGTACCCCAAGCGCGTCGACGCGCGCGTGCAGGAAGAACTTCCTTTCATGATCACCGAGTCCATCATCATGCGTCTCGTTGCGAAGGGTGAGTCGCGCCAAGAAGCCCACGAGCAGATCCGCGTGTTGTCGCACCAGGCTGGTGCGCAGGTCAAGAACGAGGGTAAGAGCAATGATTTGGTGGATAGGATCCGTAGCACGGAGTTCTTTAAGCCGATCTGGGGGGAGCTGGATGGGATGCTGGATAGTAAGTTGTATACGGGTAGGAGCGAGGAGATTGTGGAGAAGTTTTGTGGGAAGGGGGGTGTGCTTGAGGGGAAGTTGGCGAAGTATGCGAGGTATATTGAGGGGGCTAAGGTTAGTGAGTTGAATGTTTAGGGGAGTGTGTTTGGGTGGTTGTGAGGGATGGGATGGGATGGGTTTTACGAAGTCTGATGCAATCATGGTTTATGGTAGAGAAAAAGTGATCAACTCACAATGTTTGCTTGGAATGAAAAATGAGTATTAGATTGAAAGCCAAAGGAATGAGATCGTTGTGTCATTCGTCGTACCATATATATACCCTCGAAATTACCTACTTGCTATGCTAATGAATATGTTCAAAACGCTGATAATGCAGATATTGCTGACTCGCCCTTCTAACGCTATACGATGCCATCCCAAAAAATGCCAGATGCCAGATACCAACCAAACACGCTACACCGAACCATACCCCAAGCAAACACACCCACTACGCACAAAGACAAAACTAATGCCTAACCCCCTGCATCCACCGATCAATCTGATCCCTCTGCCTGGGATCCATGGGCGGCTCCATCATCCCCCCATGCATCATTCCATTCATACCCATCGGCATCTGTATGCCATTCATTCCCATCCCGCCCATCTGCATGCCACCCATTTGCATACCATTCATCTGCATCCCGCCCATCTGCATCGGCATCTGCATGCCCATCCCGTTCATCTGCATGCCCATGCCATTCATCTGCGATCCCATGCCCATCATGCCACCCTGTTGCATCATGCCCGGCTGCTGCATGCCCATCTGCATGGGCATACCCATCATGGACTGGTGTTGTCCCATGCCGTTCATCATGCCTGGCATCTGCATGCCTATCATACCTTGCTGGGGCGGCATGGCGCTCATTCTTTGCTGGTTGGCCATCATCATGGGGTTCTGAGCGTTCTTGTAGGCTTGGATTTTCTGGCCGAGCGGGATGTCGTCGTCGTCTTTTTGGTTGTTGGTCATGTTCTTCAGAAGTGGGTCCATGGAGCCGTATGATGTGGCGCGCATGGTTGCGGTGAGACGTTGCTGCTTTTTGCGCCCTTGGTCTAGCTCGTTTTGATGGAGGAGGCTGCCTTGGGGGAGGTGCGAGACGAGGGCTTCGTTGGATACTTTGCGCGCTTGGTTGTGCGGGTCGATGGGATTGGCGGAGAGGATGTCGGCGAGACTGCTGGAGGAACGCAGATTGGGTCGGTGGCCAGGCTGGGGGGCTTGTTCGCCTCGTAAGGCGGCTTCGGCTTGCAGGCGGGCTCGACGTTGGCCGAGGGTCTCTTCTTCCTCTTCGTCGTCGGCAGCGGGAGGGGGTGCTGGATGAGTGTCTTTGGATTGCTCCTGGCCTTCTGGAACACCGAACTTGCTCATCATCTCGGAGGCGAAGTCATCGCTGACTGTGCTCTTGCGCACATCGCCGAGTGCTGATTCACGTTGTTGCTTCTCTTTGATGCGGCGCATACGGTCAGCCAGCGTCTCGCCAGGCTCCTCATCCGAGTCCGGTTCAGGGGTTGTGATGGTAGGAAGGTTGAGCTGGCTTGACGAGGCTCCAAGGTACTGTGTGCGTCGTTGATTCGGGTCAATGCCGAGTAGCCTGGTGCGACGGCTGCTGAGGGGTTCGCGGTCCTCCAACTCTCGCTGCTCGATAAGACCCATGCTCTTTTGACGCATTTGCTGTTGCTGTTGAGGTCTGTAGAGAACACCAAGTGGTACGTCGTCATCCGAGTCTTCTTCCGGCGGAGCTTCCCACGCAAGGTTTACTTTTTTGCGGATTCGTCGTTGCTTCTCGGCTTCGGCCACGTCGTTCATTTGGAGCAGGGTTTGTCTACCGTCAATCAACCCCTGCTCCATCAGCGTCACGTAGTTCATCTTCCGACCCTGCTGTTTCGCCTTGCGTAGCTGAAGCTCAGCGAGAAGAGTAGTCGGCGCGCCGTATTGTGGCTCGGACTCCCCTTCCTCTTCGCTCGATTCTTCTTCTTCTCCTTCTTCGTAATGGTCTTCTGTATGTTCTTCAAACGAAGGTCGAATAGCATCGGGATCACGTCCATCCGGTCCTCGTGCGTCCTCATCACGCTCCTCTAATTGGTCACCGAGGCTCATCCGGCTTTCACTTGCCTTGACAAGTAATAGATTCATGTCAGCCGAGCTGTTCCGCTTCTTCAACTTCTTCAGGCGCTCGCCCTTCGCGTTGTGGTCAGTATCCAGTATGTTGAACGAGCTGCGTCTTCGCGTCTCTGCCAGTGTCGGTGGCATCTCCGGTAGTTTGGAACTCCTGCGCTTGCGTTCCGCACCGTACACCTCGTCGCCGACATGTCCAGCAAATGGATGATCAGTGAATGCAGACACAGGAGCATGTGCAGAAGCGTCCAGGATGCTTTCGAGCGTATCCTCCGCAGACTCTCCCTTGACTGCAAACTCCTGAGTGGGGGCAGCTCGATTGTCAAAGTAAGCGCTTGCTCGTAGTTGCGGTGGGAGTGCCATGAGACTCTGCCGGCTCTTCCTGTTGTTAGGCTTCGGGTCTGCTAGGTTATCACCAAGCAATGGCATGGATTTCCTATGCTCGTTTTGCATGGAATCTAACAATCGTGACCGACGATTGGCTTGCTGACTCATATTAGGCAATTGTGACAGGCGCTTGGGTAGGTTCAGCATCTTCGGTACGGGAGCCGGGTAGAAGACCATGCTATCGTCCGGCGGCGGTGCGCCTATGGAGTGAACGCTCGGATTGGATTTCATCATGTAGGAATGATTGGAGGAATGTCGGCTGTGGCTGTGGTGGGATGGTTCGGGTTCCTCCTCGACAGTATCTGGGCAGTGGACGCCATCGAAGTCATGCCATAGTGTACGTGCTTGGTGTGTGGTGTCGGTCGAGGCTGCTGTCGGCGGTCGGTCTACGAAATCGCGGTAGTCTGGATATTGGTTCTGCGACTCCTCGTCTGGCTCCGGGCGTCTAGGTGGGGTGCCTATATGGATACTGTTACGCAGCTCTTCTGGCAGACCATTCGCGACTTCATCGAATATGCGTGTAAAGGACGAGACCTTCCGTTGGGGCGGCGAAGCAGAGTCGCGCTCTTCATTGTGTTCCTCCTCCACTTCCTCGGGGTGTACAATCTGTCCGAGACGCGATGCCTTTGATTCCGAGCGCTGGCGCTGGACCGAAGTCGAGGGTTTCGACCAGTTGCCTGTCCCTGAGCGCAGAGACCCTGCAGGAGAGGTTATGTAACCGCCCGGAGAGTATCCGCCCCATCGTGCATTTCCGTTGAGGTCTACGATTGAATTGGTGTGGGAGCCTATCGAAACGCCGCGACTTCGGGTGCTGGCCTGTCTCGTAGGCTCGAGGTCGTTCGTCTGTAGTGAAGATCGCCGACTGTCAGTCAGCTTTAGTTCCGAGTATGTCTTCCGAATCTCCTCCTGCAGGTCTGAGCCGGACTCGCTCATGCGTTCGGCATGTTCTTCCAGGCGTTCGATGTTGCCCACATATGCCCCTTGCAGCGACTGGAGATCGGGCACCGGATGACGGAGGTCGCGGTCAGTCTTGGGGGAAGTCATCACAAAGACAGACAGTAGAGGGCCGCCGCAGAGGTGAGAGTCCCTACTTGACTGCGGTGCGACTCTGGTAAAGGAGACTTTTGGTGTGATTGTTGCACCGAACCGGACATGGGTGAAGGGTGATCGACCCCGATCCTTTCCAAGAATAGCACCCAGCACGTTACGGCAGGAGCGACCCAGACCTAACGGTTCTTGGCGCTGTCACCCAGAACTCGCGACTGAACATCATTTTGCGACAACACTCCCGCCTCGCCCACGGTCCTTCCACGACAAATCACGTGGCGCGCATGTCTGCCTGATTCACTCCCGTATATTGCGACACCACTGCGACATCGAACCCACGACCAGACTCATCGCGCGCACCGAACAGCTGCCGGCTGCCAATATCACCTTCGTATTCGAATATTTCCCCATACGAACACCTCCACCATGGACGAAGGTGGCAAGCGCAAACACAGCTTTCGCCAGCAGCCTAACAAGCGGGCAAAGGCTGAGGATGGCTCCGCGCTCAAGTCTGGCTTTGGTGCCAAGATGCTGGCAAAGATGGGATACAAGGGCGAGGGTGGTCTGGGAAAAGAAGGCGCTGGTATCTCAGAGCCTATCCAGGTGGTGAACCGAGGCACCAAGGGCGGTATTGGTAGCGTCGCAGAAAAGAGCGAACAGCAACGGCGCGAGGAGCGGCGCAAGGCCGAAGAAAATGGCGAGAAGTATGTCGACACGTCAGAAGAGGAGCGCCAGGAGAAGAAAAAGAGGAAGGCCAAGGCTCGGGGCGAGACACGATCCTCAGCGCCACGACCGAAGAAGACCGTTTTCGAACTCGAACAAGCTGGCATGCATGTGCCGCTTGCGCTACAATCCATCATCGACGCGACAACCGGCGCATCGACCCCTACTTCAGGCGTGTCGCTCCGCGGTCCTGACATTGTCCCATTCGAGAACTCCCTACAAGCGCGCGTACGGAGAGATTTAAACAGCTTCTCGGAGGCATTCGAACAGCTGCAAGTAGAGTCGCAAGCCATCCCTCCGCAGGAATACGCGTTGCAGAAGGAATTGGAAGCGCTCGAAAAGCAGATGGACGAGCTGGAGGACCTACAAGCACGGATAGAGTCACTGCGTACAGGTACCTTCGAGGTTGTCTGCGAAGGCCTCAAGAGCCTGCGCGCGGCTTACCCGTCCAAGCCACTACACCGTGAATCTATTGCCGTTATACATCCTCACTTCTCAAAAGCGGTCGCTTCGTGGGAGCCGCTCGAGGGTGCGTTGGAAGGCGTGGCCGCAGCTTTCTCCGAAATGGCGAACATCATACAACCTCGAAGTAGGAGGGTTGCATCCCAGGCCTACACCCACCCCTCTGAAGCACTGGTTAGTCGCACCGCAATCGACGAAGAAGACACGATAAAACGCGGCACTACGTCGTCATATGAGTCCATGATGCTCAAACACTGGCTGCCAAAAGTAAGCTCAGCGATCACGCAGTGGGACGTCAAGAACCCCCAACCCATGGTCCACCTGCTAGAAGTTTGGAAGCCAGTCCTCCCACCTTTCATCGCGAAAAGAGTGCTGGAACAGGTGACTACAAAACTCTCCACTTCTGTCCACGAGTGGAACCCGCGAAAGTTCAAGAAGAGCCCACACACATGGGTCGTCGAGTGGCTGCCTTTCCTTAGACCAGCTGACTTGGACCCCAAGGGATCAGGCCTGGTCGCCGAGATCAAGCGCAAGATCCGACATGCGCTGCAATCTATCGATCTCTCCAAAGGTCCGCTACCAGGTATGGAACAATGGAAAAAGGTATTTGGAAAGGCAGAGTTTGATCATCTACTCACTTCCCATCTGGTACCCCGCTTGTCCGCCTTCCTACGAGACAGCTTTGAGATCAACCCCGCTGAACAAGACCTCGCGCCACTCGAGGCTGTGTTCGCCTGGAAGGGACTGATATCGAATGAGGTTATTGGAGAGCTTCTGAAAGCACAGTTCTTTCCCAAGTTCCTCGAGATTATCCACCAATGGCTCACGAGCCCGGAGGTGGTCTTTGAGGAAGTCCAGACGTGGCTTACGTGGTGGAGGACTGAGATCTTGCAGGACGACATCAACAATCTGCCTTCAGTCGCCTCGTCATGGAACGAGGCATACTCACTCATCAACACGGCATTGGATCTTGGAGATGCGAGACTGACAGACTTGCCCGCGCCCCAGGTGGAAAGCACGGGAGCTTCACCAGAGGTGTCTCAGTTCTCCAAATCCGTCAACCAACAAGCATCTCGGCCTACACCACAAGTAGACGAGCCAACTTTCAAGGACATTGTAGAAGAGTTCTGCGCCGAAGAGAATCTCCTTCTCCTTCCTCTCCGCGAAGCCCACGACCAGACCGGTCTACCGCTTTTCCGTGTCACAGCAAGCGCGACGGGACGCGGAGGCGCAGTGGCGTATCTCAAAGGCGACATCCTGTGGGTGCAAAACAAGAAAGACAAGAGTCTCTGGGAGCCTACCGGTCTGGACGCAAAGCTCATAGCCAAGGCAGAGGGCAAGTGATGCCTCCCGCTTCAAACTGCGTATTTCACACCACCTCGGTGCTCGGTTCTGGCAGGCACAGGGTAAGCTCCCATAGCCTCTCCTGGGCAGATATGTTTGCTAGCATTCGCTAATCCGGCATCGGTACGATGCTTCCTTAGGTAGTGATAGTGATGACGACTCGCAGTCAGTCCAGGCTATAATGAAGCCACATTATCTCTCCACCAGCGTCTGTTCGTAAGCACAGTAAGGCAAACCAAAGTGCCGAAAGTGTTGCATGAATCGTGAACGAAAGAGGAGTACGGCCAATGCGAACGGCTGTCACAGCATCGGGGGGTGATGCGGGCGTTTTAATCGGTCCTTGCTGCAAGCCTAGTCTGTGACTTTCGTTGCATCGCCCATCACGGGCATTAAGCCACGAGGCCGCGTAGAATTGTTCACTTCAGGTGACGAGTCGGACTGCGAAGGAGATGTCTGATCCTGGGATGTCGCCAATATAGTGGCTCCGTGATGGCGAGTGATTACTAGTGTGATGGGGTGACTGTGCGCTGATTCGCATATGTAGGTATAGTCGGGCGCTTAAAATAGATTTTCGTGGCCAATGGGAATAGCGGATTGAGTGCGCATTTTCTGGCGTGCAGGGGCTGCCTTTCATGCATGCTCACCGTCGTAGGTGGGTGGGGAGGCGGGCGGGGGGAGGATCTTGGAGGTCACAGCTGGTCTCATACTCTGCTGCATTGAATGTACTCCAGTATTGAGTAGATTCTTGCGCATAGCACTTCAGTAGAGAGCTTGTTCTCCCATCGTTTGTAGCCAATAGGAAGCTTCAAGACATAAGTGGGGACATGGCATTAGAATAGCCCTGGGTAGTTCTCCATCGCCAATGGGAAACGCAGAACGGGTGCGCATTTCTTGGTCTTGCAGGGGACGCCTTTCATGCATGCGGACCGTCTCCCGTTGACTGTGCCCCGAGCTGGCAGGCGATCGCGCATGTCCGGGAGGTTGGTGTTGGTAGTCTCGAGTATTGTGCGCTCGAGCGTTGCGGCCCGGGTAAACATGTTTCTCGAGGTTTTCTTCACCACAACGACGACAACTCACTGCACAACAGTTGCGCGTATCACCGCATAGACTCGATACTTATAGCTCAAGCCTCGAATGTCGAGATTTATCATCGGCACATCCCATCTCGCCCTAGCTTGAACGAAGCGACCCCGCCTCAGCGGCTGAGAGACAGCATCCACTGGACGCCCCAATGTAGCTCAAGAACTAGGCCGGCCAATCAGACCGCGCATGCACCTTCCCAAGCCATCACACCCAGTCGCTCTTTCCTTGCATCCGACCACTTGCAGACCGCCGATCAAAGTACTTACCCGCTGCCCATCCCTCTTCATATCACCATGTCGCCTGCTGTTACACTCTGCATTTCACCCGGTTCCTCTCAGTCGGGATAGCGGGCACTCATTCATGTGCAATTGCGGCCCTAGATCGACATTGCACCCCGGACGACCTTGACGAAGCAGCAAGCAAGCTCGAAAGTTAGACCGCCCACATCTGATTGTCACATTTATTCCTCTTTTCTCTGTTATATATTTCCAGTCCCCCCTCGACCTGAGGGCGCGGCTTACGATGCTCGTCGGAGCGCTTCCTCCGGCACTCATCTCACTGCTTCTTGTTGCATCGCGTGTTTCTGCTGCGCCTTACGACTTTCTCGATAACTATCGCGACCCCACGCCGGCGGCTGACGAGGGGCCTCCTGCTTCATACCAGGCTGTCCGAGACAAGAACGTGCTGCCGTACGAGATTTGCGGTGTTGTTGGCGGCTACGTCTTTACAGTACTTATCTGGGGGGTTCTTCTCCTCACTGTTGGTAGAAAGATGAGACGAAAGGCTCTTGACCCGCCCAAGCAATTGGAGCTGGAACTCCAGGATAAACCGACTCTACCGGCTCTTCGAACAGCTGGACTCACATCGCCACCGCTATCCGCGCGGTCGTTTTTCGGGAAGTTCAAGAGGAACAGGAATGACTCTGCTGTTAGCAACCCACAGAGTCCTGTTGTTCAGTCACCAAGCTCTTTCGACCAGAAGGTTCTTGATGCCCACCGGGGTCAGGATCAAGCAGACATGGAGCGTCTCTACGCCGCCGTCATGGACTTCGACGAGCGCAAGCACTCCTCCAAAGTCAGTGTAGAAGAAACAGAGCCCATCCCCCGACCCACCGAGCGACGACGCCCCTCAAACATCAGCATCGCGCGCCCAGAATCCCACAGCGAAACCCCAATCTCACCCGTAAAAGCCATCTACCCACCAAACTACAGCGTCCAGCAACCCGCTGCACCCACCCAAAGCACCCACCTCCGCGCCGACGCCCACCCACCCCCAAGCCCCCGCAGCATCCTCTCCAAGCGCTCCCAAAACTCCAACACCAACTCCACCGGCAGCAAAAACGCGCGCTTCAACCTCAAGAACCTGCGTATCTCGGGCCCAATCGCAAAGTACCCAGGCGCAGACTCCGACGACGAAGCACGAACGCCGCTGTCCCCGCGCTTCTACGCAAACCCCGGTGTCCCTCCCTCGCCACCGACACAGACGAGCTCGCCAACGTCGCCGGAACAATACACAGAAGAAGCACTAGATAGCGTACAACCCCTTCCCCGACCCGCACCGCAACGCCTCGGTCTTGGTCCACCACCAACATCAACATCCCAGCCCTCACCCCGCCAACACCCCCCCAAACCCCTCAACACCCAACCCGCATCCCTCCCCCTGCGCTCCTTCGCCTCCCCCCTCGCAAGCCCCGGCATCCAAACCACAGTCCTAGACCGCCGCGTCGAGGCCCTCGCTCTCGGCACCCCCAAAACAGGTGTGCCCTTTACGCCGTACAGCCCGTACATGCCGTTTACACCCATCACCCCCGTGACCCCGCATTTGACGACGAGGAAAGAGCGCAAGATGGAGAAGAAAGAGGGGAGGAAGTATGGGAGTAGACGGCCGAGGGTGGAGGAGGAGCTGGTGCAGAGTCCGAAGGAGATTTTTGGGGATGGGTGGTAGGGTGATGTGGATGTGAGGGAAGGATGGGATGGGGAGAGAGGGATGGGATGGAAGGGTTGCATTTGCATCTGTTTTAGCGATTTTCTCTTTTTTTTTTTACTGTCACTGATAACACGCCGCCGGTTGGCTGGTTGATGATGAAGTGCGAGGGCATGCATAGTTCTTTTCTGCGTTTATATTTATGACGTGTATTTTATCTGGAGGAAGGAGGGTTAGCATCGAAACGTATATATTGAGACGAATACTTTCACAACCAGCATATTGTACTTGCGAATTCACGCATCACCTTCACAGCAAAACAACATAGACAGGTGTGCAAAGACAACTGGTCAAGGACCAGCAAACTCATGCATTAAAAAGCCACTTTGTATAACCCTTTCCACGCCAAACGAAATGGCTCAATCTAATTGCTCCTCCTCGTCCTCTCCACTCTCACACCCTTTCTTCTCTTTCCTCCGTTCCCCTTTTCTCTCTCCTCTTCCTTCAAACAATCAATAAATACACACGCACACGAATAGTTGCGACGCCGACAAACAACTATGCCCAATCTAACGCGTCCGTCTCCCAAGTTCAAAGAACGAACCCTATACACTGAAGAAAAAGAAGAAGAGTTGTGAAAAGAACCATCGGGGTGTATAGCGGATAAAATGCCACCCACTTGGCTACTTCTGTAAGGTACAAGAGGCCCAAGCCTCGGCCCCTAAATGCCAATTGTTCTGAGCCAACGGATATCGCTTGTGATAGATCTTCTGTGGGATGTCCGTACCTATAAGTTTGAGTGACAAAGGGAATTTGGATGGTTGGTAATCTGGACTGGTATGGTAGTTTGACACAAAGGAAAGCAAGACACCTGGAACGCCGTACGCTGATAGATGAGCAGCACTTCGGTCGCAGATAATAGCAGTCGAGCGGGATAATAGTACGACAAGTGATATCGCGGGTATTGGCATTTCTCGAGAGCAGTACCCATAGTAAACCGTACCGATACGTTACTAATGTGACACTTTTACTTCTCTCTCAAAAGTTTGCCAAACCGTTCTTGGAATGACGTTTGCTAAAGCGCTTCCTGCCCTTGATCGAGTCAGTCTCGGTGTTATCTTTGCGGAGGTGGCCGCCGCCGCCATGCCGCGAGGCGGGTATGTTGACGCCCTCGAGGGCGGAGTCTCCTCCCAACGTACTGGTCGGGGTGGTGTGGTTTGAAACGAGCTCGTTCAAACCTACGTCGGCTGAGTACGAGTTGGTCATGGTTTGGGCGAACGCGTAGTCGCGTGCTTGTTCGATGCTGTCGAGCCATTCTTGGCTCGAGTACTTGCTGCCGTCGGGGTCGCTCGTCGTACTCTTGGGGTCTTCGAAGACGTATTGCTTCTCTTTCTGGGAGGGGTGTTAGTGGGTGTTGGGTTGGGATGGGAGTGGGGGTGACGTACTGTTTCTACGAGCCAAGCAGTGAGGCCTTTGGAGTCTTGGAATGATCTCCATGCGCAGCCTGCGGAGAGCAGCGATACTTCTTCCTTCAGCTTCTTGTCATTCGTGCCTGCTGCGCACATCAGTACGCGTGCATTCGACGTTATCATGACGAGCCGTTGGCGCTTCTTGACCGTGTTGCCGCCGAAGAAGCGCGAGAACTTCTTGGGTTGCTCCACAGGCTCTTCCTTTCCGCCTACAACATGACCCGCCGGGTGCTGCGTCACAAACATGTTTCCCAGCTTCAATATCCGCTCGTCTCGCTTGGTGAGGACCGGTGACCAGTCGATGTCTAGTTGGGAGGGAGGGGGTAGTTCGGTAATGAGGCGCGGCTTCGGTCGTGCCTGGGTTTGGGTGGATGCCGCTACTGATGGCGTTGATGGGCCTGGACGTGTTATTGGCGTTTCCTGAGGCGTAGAAGGGTTCCTACCATTCAGCTTGATGGGCTCTTGTGCCGGCGGACTGTAGGCCTTCAACCGTGGAGCCTTCTGTTTCCACAAGCCTTTGCCCCA